CAAACTCGTCATTTATCATTATTCAATATCCTCATTGCACAACTATTGTGATTACAAATTCCACTCTCCTATTAATAAAATTCAACGAACAGGGAGGATACTAAATATAAATGTATTTAATGCTAGTTTTATATATTTAAAAAAGAGTTAAACAATAAACTAGTTATGTTAAAATGTTTAAATCATTGCAACAAAAATTGTTATAATTTTGTAAATTGATTTTCTCCTTTTATATATTTTATGAAATATTATATTTGTATACAGAGAGTTCTTTTTAGATACACCAGCTGAATATCTTTTCAACAGATAGCGTTATCGAAAAATGAAAAATACGTATTTTATATTTTTTAGTATAGTTTTAAATTTTTACGGTTATTATTAAACATTTGTTGTTAGGTCAGAGCCAGTATCTGAAGTATCTACACAACAAACATTTTAGAAAAGCTGTAAAAATGTAAATCTAGATTAAAAAATAGTAAATATTTAATTTTTTTTGTTTTTTAATAACGTTATCCGTTCAGAAGAAATTCAGCCGAGCCATCGAAAAAAGACACCCCGTATATATGCTTCCAATGTTTTAATTATTATGTATAATTATTCAGAAATCGTGAGATGCGGTCTGGTGTGATGTATTTTTCAGAAAAACATTTTCTTTATCGTGCCAATTCTCAAACGACACGCAAGAATGGCACAATTGCACAGAAGACAAACACTTTGAGCCCTGAAGATGATCTCAATAAAGATCGAAACGTTGGCACGATAAAGAAAATGTTTTTTTGAAACCTACATCAAACCAGACCGCATCTCACGATTTCTGAATAATTATCGATTAACGGTCATTAAACACCACACATTATGTATAATATCCGGCTCGTGGCACTAGCTTTTTCATCAACTAAAACTTTACATAAAAACACTGTTTAAGTGAAAGAAGTAATTTGGTCAATTGACCAAGAAATATAATGGATTATGTATAATTTTACAGTTTTTTTAATATATTATATATTTCAGTAAATTATTATCACTGCAACTCGATTACTTGATATAGAAAAAATATCTGTTCATATTTCTCGATCAATTAACAATTTTACAACATAAAAATTATTTGCATTATTTTAGCAATGGTAAAAAATACGATTTGTGGTCTGTGGGATTGAAACACGTGAAACATAACCAAAAGCAACCCAATAATAAAGTAAGTTGGAGGTTTCGATGTGAAGAAATTTGTGAATTTAATTTTCAACAAAGTTGGCCATTTTTCCTTTCCTTTCCCAATTTCCTAGCCATCTTACGAAACCCACTCAAACTGCTTCTACATTTTCCTGTTGAAGTATTGAAAAAAAAAAAATTGTAAAATGAACCGTCTGCTTGACGTTTGCCTCCTATGGGTCCGCAGCCAACATTTACTTCCCGTTGAGCCGGCGTGTACTGCCCAGATCCACTTTAACCACCTAACTGCGGTTATTACTACAATAAATCCAGTTTTTGTTAATGATACTGGGTTTATTGCTTTATCCGTCATTTTGCCGTTGACTGCGCTTCTCTCTACGACTCTGCGTCCTCAGTGTCATTTACTAACTTTTGAAACAATGAAAAATTAATTTTACTACTAAAGACGAATTTATTTTTCATTCTTTCATTACAACCTTTATATGATACTATAGATAAATATTTTCTGAATATCAAATATGAACATTCTGCCCATTCGCTACGGTTCTATTCCTCATTGATTCTCTTGTGATATTTATCTTTTCCTACTTTTGTTTAATCCAGCCATTTTTACCTATAAACAGCAGTTTTTCTCTATAATATTTTCAATTTTTATTCGACTAAATAAATAGAGATTAATTAGCCTCATAATAAATAAAAATCTCCGGCAGACGGTTTATTTCCATGCCTTGTAATAGAATATGTATTTTATTTTTCTTATTAATTATACACTTATGTATATACATTGTAACTTTTTTTGTTAATAAAATTTCTTCAATAAAAAATTAATTCATTAATTAAAAACATAAATAAAAATCCTGTATTTCCGGTCCAATTAATTTGTTTATAATGTAACTTTTGCTATTTTATTGATCAAACAAATTTCTATGAAAATAAACTCGTTTTGCAAAGTTGATACCAGTTATAGGCTAGAAGGTTGAAAACCTTATTTAAAAAATACCGATAATTTGAAGACAATTGTTTAAAAATGCGCTATTAGTGAAAATTTAAAACAAGATTACTTGGCCGAGAGATATATAAATATTTAAGTCGAGGAGTATATTATACTGCGCCCTTTAAGAGCTATTGTATCCCGCGTTCTGGGCTTAAAGCACATTGTCCTAGTTCATCAAGGAACTTAGTAGGCCCGGTTTAAGTTGGTGAATCTTCTACGGTTACGTTTGTTCCCCCTGCGGGCAAGTGTAGAACCACAGTTCGTTAGTAGGTGGTTGGTGTCTCTGCTACTTTGCAGAATCTTCACTTGCCGTGTTTGGTTATGCCACTATTCTTCAGCTGTTGATTTAGTTTGTAGTGTCCTGTTGGGAATCCTTTTTTTTTTTGCTGCTTCCTTTAATACGTTCTGTTACCTCTTTCCTTCAGACGTTTGTCAGCAGGTTCTTGGATTGTTTGTGTGTAATGAATGAGTTACATTGTTCCATCATTTTCTTTTTGTCCTTCTGTCTGAGGTGTTCATTGATAGTGTGCATTCCTATGCCATTGAAGGGCTCGAAGATTAATTGATAGCCAATTATTAGCGGAATTGCGGGAAACCTGGTTGGTCAACGTGTAAATTTGTTTTTATTTTATTTCTATCAACATCAATACTTACAAATAAATATATCATTTTTACAAAGGTCTGACAGGGTGTAACATTATACTTTAGGCGATGAGGGTGTGACGGAAAAAATTACATGTTTATTTACGATAAAATCTAACAGAACAGGAATAAAATAATATTTTAATTTTGAGATAGGAGATAAAAATTAAAGAAGTGTTGCCTGTTATCTTAAATCGCTAATGTGGGTTATATTTTGAATGTTTACTAACTTTTAACCTGATGCATTTGCCAAAATTCCCTAAACTCAGAGTCAATTAATAAATCATAATTATAAAAACAAGAATGCCGCTTTCCAAAATACCCACAGTGTTATCACAGTAAATATTATTATTACCTTGTGATAAATTGCACTCTGTGAGCATTTTCTTTATTTATTCGGTTAAGGGTTGTTTACATTAGCTAAAAAACGGCCAGTGCAAGTCAGAAGTACGAAAAATTACAAAACAATATTGAAATTTTAAAAAAATAGTGTGAACCTTTATCTTTTAGCGTATAGATTTAAATATAATAAATATTAGTTCATTTACGTAATTATTCATTGCTTAGTTTCATTATTTCTTTTCCTCTTATATGCTATTGTGTTGTGCCAATAGAATATGCGATTTTCTGCAGTTACTAAAGCTCGGATTTTAACAACGTGCTAAACTTAGGTTAATCGGAAGAGATCAAGCTACAGGTGCACCACGCAGTCTTCACAACGATGTTTCACAAGGAAACAAATCATTCACAATTTGACCATTGAGTGAATTAATTTAAGGAATATTTTAAAGTTTTATTTTATCATCGCTCGCCATATGTTTACTTATTTTTGAATTTTTTATGGTCTGCAGTACTAAAACCGGCCATTAATTTGGCTGATTATTAGAAACAACGAAGGATTATTATTATTATCATTTCAAGATGGTTGCCATACAATACTTAATTATTTATTATTTCATTTTTCGATTAATATTAAGATTATAAACGCTTATCATTTTTTTTCGTTCAAAAAAGACGAATATGTTTTAGATTTATTAAAAGAAATAGAAATAGAATTACGAGACCTTCTAGGAGTCCTCTGGCCTCTCCCTGATAGATCAGGGGGAGTCACCCACTTTGGTGCTTGAGCGACTCCGAGGTTGGGCTCTAGTCGGGCGCCATCGACTTCTTTGGTCATTTCGGCGCCCTTACGTTACCGAAAATTAGTCATTTTCACACTCACTCATACAATAAATACATACATACTCCTACATACAAACCCAATCACACATGCACATCCTTAGTCTAGAATCCAGGTCGGAGGGTACTCGATATTCCGCCCCGACCTGGCTAGCGGAGGCAGCGGTGGAGCCTTGAAATAATTTGCTGCACCGCCGCCCAACATACTCCTGTTCTAACATAAACTAAATCTAAACTTTAACCTAAGAAATAAATACCCTACTATATATAACCCATTATCCCAATATCTCTTAAAAACCTAAAAAGTTTTTCCTTAAACTCGCTGCCATTCTCCTTTAATCCAGCGGTATTCCATTTCGGTCCCTATACGGGGCCAAGCTGCGACACCCCTCCAACACGTGCGACACCGTGAGTCTGTCAACTTGGCATGCTGGGGACCTAGGTCGAATCGCGCCAACCAACAGGTACCCATGTCGCACGTGTGTGACCAATCCGCAGGCGGGTCAGGAAAACGCTTTCCCTTCGAGATATCCCCTCCGGGCTCCACCGGTTGACCGTCGGCTTGACGGACACTAGCGCGTCAGTTGAGTCGGCCCAACGACGCTTCCACTTGTCTAATATCATATTTTTCACTATTCTCTTAGCGTCGTCAGGTCGAATCGGGTTGGTCTCAACATCATCAATATGAGGAACGAGAGTACCCGCTTTCGCGGCCAGGTCCGCTCTTGATTTATAAATAAAATTTTATTTGTAATTGTTATTAAATGACCGCTGTTTTCTAAGGGAGTTTCTTTTGAAATATATATTTTAACAAAACTATCAAATTATATCTGGCCATAATATTTTGTTTAAAATATTCTGTGAGCTGAAAGATGCTGCAGCGTTCAGCAATTAAAAAAATATTGTTGGTATAATATTAGTTGTAAGTTTTAAATTGTGATATTACTTTCATTTGTTATTTCAAACTACAAATTACATTAAGTAAAAATTTTCTAATGCTGATTGAGTCGTTTGAGTCATTTCCAGGAGAAGTTGTCCATTGAAGACTTCACACTGCAACTTCGCCATTTTCACTGAGATGGTCTCGGGGCAATTTTAGCTTCAATCGTCTTGGAGGATTTACTGATAAAGTTGGTAAGGTAACAAAGCTGTTGTACCGGTTTACGACTTACTGGTGGCAGATACTTTAACGCAAGGTAAAATTTATCTGTAAGCTTCTAGTGAGATTTATTTTCATTTTCCATTTTGTGAACTATGCCTCTAGTTCATTCGGGTGTTGTGTGTGTCAGCGAAGGTTTGTATAGAAATGTTAACAATACCTGCAGGGTACATAAAAAAAAGAAATGGGCCAAGAATTCTCCTGACGGGCTCGGTAGATATTGTTAAGTTTCCAAAGCAAGCCCGACTGCCAAACACGATCGAAGACATGTTCTAAATCAAGGAAGACACCCGAGCAATGCTGATTTTGATCAAGGAAAGAGGCAATATTGCCCGCAACAAAATGCATCTGCTGAGATGTCGAGTGAGATGAGTTTTCCATTATGGGAAATAATCTTACGAGAAGTTTTCCTAAAATTTTGACAAAGGTTTATATGAACAAATGGTTTCCATAGGAGCCAGAAAGATAAGGAATATGAAGTATACGTGAAAAATAAATATAACGTTTTTGATCCGTTGATTTATTTTCATATATTCTCTGTTGCCTTTTGTTTTCGTATGAATCAGCAGAATGGCAGCCTAGGCCAATTAATTGTTTTGCGATTAATATATCAATACGTCTTTCATTAAAAATACAATTTGCTGAATTTACACAAATGGATGATGTATTTATCAAATTGACTTTATGCAACTCTAACTGACGTCCTACAATTAAAACCATTTTTCCTCAGAGAATGTTTGATTTTTTTTTCTTCTCTCTCGTTCATTCTTATAAATGTCATTGTTGTTTAAAAGTGTCCGAGGCAATGATTATCTGTTCATTATAAAACCGGCTCAGACCTTTCTCCCGGGTAAGTATTTAATGTATGTAATTGGTCACGACTTACGTTAAATAAGATACTGTCATTCGGTAAGTCCCACCGCATTTCCTCGCACAGCTATTTCACTTGAAAGGGTATTTTTGCGTTTCAAATGGTCTAGTTCTTCCATCATCAACTATTTCACAATATCGAAACCTCAGCGCTTGTTATGTAGCACTGGTTGTTAAGGTTGATTGTAGCAAAGTTATGCGTGAGTTGAACTTTTTACTGAAACTCTGCGAAAATGTCAATTGTTGAGTACATTGAGTCGATCCAGTTACAAAATCTACTACAAAATCAAAACAATATTGATAATTAAACTGCAATGCAATTATGGCGAATTTATTTAGTCGCAAAAAAAAAACCATTCCTGTTTCAAAATATGTACCTGCAAACATAATCAAAAGACATATCAAATGTATTGATCAGAATGTAGGCGGTTTTGAAACAAACCATTATTTAATCATCTGTGGAACATTGTCAAAGGCGTAATTTCCAGTTTTCGTTCATAACTTCCCATCATCTCCGGCAATTTTATCTCCATACTCGCAAAAACAGTTCGGCTTCTGGTCAAAATACTGCAGTCGAAGAATTTTTTACGTTTCAAATGGAAAGGTTTGAAGTGTGAATTAGAAAAATATTGCAAATTATTGCAAAGAGAATTATTTTGAGCCTATGAACGATTTAATGCGTACCAATTAAACATTTTATTTAAATGTGTGGTGATTAGTGACCGTTAGTCGATGATTAGTCAGAAATCGTGAGATGCGGTCTGGTGTGATGTAAGTTTCAGAAAAACATTTTCTTTATCGTGCCAACGTTTCGATCTTTATTGAGAGGTCTTTTCTATACCGACATCCTTCCCCACCCCTTCAAAATCCAACGTATATAAACATAAAAAATACTCAGCTATTACAATCCTGGGATCCACTGGTCTACCTAACTGGGCTTGTGGAAGAAAGCCGAAGCCTTATCAAACACCATTTCAATAGTTTTCGCCAAAACTGTGAAACTCTATATAAAATATATAAAAACAAATATTTTTTGCATTGTATAAATTCACTTTTTTCCACATTCTACACATATTTGTTAAATTTAAACAATGTTTGTGAATACCAGGCCCTGAAGATGAGCTCAATAGAGATCGAAAGTTGACGATAAAGAAAATGTTTTTCTGAAACCTACATCACACCAAACCGCATCTCACGATTTCTGAATAATCATTTTATTTAAAAAAATATTTATAATTTGCTACTGATTTTTTTACAACTGCACATTTAACAATTTCAGGAAATAATTATACAAGTTAGCGAAAACGTTAATTTTATCAATATATCATATTCATTTCAACAAGCTAGGAAGTTTCTTAAAAAAAACCCTTCGTTTATTGAATCATTGGCTGGTCTGACCAATTCGAAAGAAAAATTGACAATCAATTCATTCATCAAGCTTATGGTTACAAAATATAAATATCTAATTATAATCTATTACGTTTCGTGATCCGATTGAAAAATGGCATAAAGAAGGGAAAATTCAAAAGGTGGGGTTGAGATGGGAAGTTAGTGTCCGAGTGGATCGAAGTCACGATAGCTCAAGTGGTAGCGTAGCGGCGTATTTAGCCGAGGATCGTGGGTTCGAATCCCGCTCGTGACACTGACTTTTTTATCTCACCCAAATTAATTGAAAAGAATCTAATTATAATGCTAAAACGTGATAATGGGGTGATATACTGCCCGAGAGCCCGACGAAGGGTCTGTCAATCTCTGATTTTTAATATAAAAATATAATATTTATGACTAATATTAATTTCGGAACATTTTGGAATGCTATGAACATATTTTTATCGCATGTAAAGATCAGCTTCACATTTCACACATAAAATATGATCATAAATTACTTTAAAATTATATCCAGAAAAGAGACTATTATGGCAAAAGTCTAACTTTCATACATCAGAAATATATGTAAAGAGGTCTTCTCTCTTTAAGCCTGAATGAAAATACCCTGAGAAACGTTTGAGTATATTTATAAAATCACAAAAGTTTGATGATTGATGAGTAACCATTGCCATTTATATTTCTGAAATAACTATAAGGATAATTCTGTAATTTTATATATTATTACGTTAATATAGGTTTTATATTTCACACATAAATTATGATCATAAATTACTTTAAAAATTATATTCCGAAAAGGAACAATTATGGCAAAAATCTAACTTTCATACACCAGAAATATATTTAAAAAGATCTTCTCTCTTTACGCCTGAATGAAAATACCCTGAGAAACATTTGAGTATATTTATAAAATCTCAAAATTTTGATCATTGATGAGTAATTGCCGTATACATTTCTGACATAACTATAAGCAAAACTGTAATTTTATATAATATTACGTTAATATAGGTTTTACATTTGGTCAATCCAGAAGAACATATACATACTAAAATTTCTTGATGTTTCAGCTGTTGATGTTTGTTGGAGTTATGTACTCTTATCAAACTTTTTAATTTTCAGTGTCCGGAAGATTTTGTTCTGCTTGTTGTGTCCTGCTTTCTTAAGAAGGTCGTATTGATGGTGTAGTTCTTCTTGGTTTTTGGAACCTTCAGAAGAAAACTTTCGAAACCAAACTAGACAAGGTGAGATGGCATATCTTCTCATCATGTTTGTAACAGAGATCAATGCTTCACGTCCTACATTTTTTTGACAAATTGAGGGTAGAATTAAGACTCTACACTGCCGTTTGAGCTTGAACTGAAATGCAAAAGGGATTTAGAAAATGCATAATTTCACCGTACAAATTCAACATGTGGTAGACACAAGCTTAGATACTTTTGAAATGAAAGGCTACTAGGAGGTGTTCGAAGAAGTATAAACGAATGCATGTAATTTCTAATTAGGACTAAATAGTACGTTCCTGGAAGAAAAAGTCTCTAATGCATGGCATGCCTGTCTAGTCTTGGACCGCCATTTCCTGACTGCTTGGGGGCAATAACTTTACTTGAATTATAACACGAACTTACATACGTTGTAGATGATGATCTAAGTTAAGCTTAACACTTCAGTCATTGGTTGCTTCGATAATTCAAGCTACACTTTTCTACAGTACAAAAAAATAATAAACTGCCAGGTCTACCGTTGCTATTTGGGACTGCATAGAGATAAAAATTTGCATAACTAGAACAAATTGGAATACATAAGAAATGCCATCGGTTGCCAGGTCGAAAAGAAAATTGCTGACAGTCAAGAGTAGAGGCGTAATACTATAAAGATAAGTGTAAAATCATAGTATAAACAGGCTGTTTTGAAACTGATTTTCCCTAGACAATAACTATTTACTTGTTCAAAGGTCTTTATCAATCTCAGGAGATAATTTTTTGCAACAAACACATCAGCGCAAATATTACCGTATATACTGCACACGGTAAAAACTATAATCTCCTCCACAACGGGTAGAAAATAAAACGAACTAATATATATTTTTTTACTACAAGATAACCGTAGAGGTCAACTCATTATCAAGTTTTCAATTTAAAAGTTTTTTATTAACAAACCGTCGGAAAGATTTTAGGGCTTTTCCTAGAGAAAACGGATGTTTTGCCCTTAAGGTATGATCGCATGCTGGCTGCTTTCGTGCTGGCAATTACCTTTCTTGTTCTGGAATATTGAGACGTAATCTCGTCGACCGCAGTATAAGGACTGCGACCGGTGGGGGAGAGGTCGTGCCCGATTCAGAATGCAGATACGATTCCTTCTCGAAACAGATGAAATGAATCAATGTGACAATTTTACCAGGTTAGCTGTCGGTATTCGAGAAAATGGAGATAAAGTGTCTGCTTGAAGATCGAAGAAAATCTGTACAACGGCTTGAACCGTTTTACGAAACATGTTTATTACATTCAAAGACATGAAGGTTTGCAACGGAAAAAATGTTATGTGCAGTAATATAACGAGTAAATAAAATGAATTATTAGTTGCAAGTACAATATAAATTCTTAAATTGGCGCAAACTTATCAAACCAACGATATAATTTTTATTTGAATCAATAGGTTTAATTAACAATCTTGCCTCTAGATTACACAGATAAATCTGATACGCTACCTTCAAACCTATTAATGTTAGTATTCTGTGTTGTTCTAAAGTTAATTGACTAGCCTAAGTCAACTTACTAGTCTGTGTTTATAATTTGGCTATCTGAACATCAAGGTTCGGTTCTCCTCGTGTTAGTTTAATAACTTATCCATAATTTGGATTAATGCATGATTTTAAAATTTTCATTGATCAATTGATACTTATTAAATAGAAACTAATCACAAATTTTTAAATGTACATCTACAAAAAAAAACTCAATCAATGAATTAAGAAGCAGCACAAGCTTAGGGGAGTCAATTTTCGATGGAACTAGTGTTTTTTCCTATGAAAAATCTGATTCACCAATATTTACTGATGAAGGCGAGTCAAATTTGAATGGAATCAATGATTGTTCCCCACTTGCTCAGCCTATAATAATAATAGCATTACTATATTAAAATGTTGGAAGATGCCCCTAATTTAGTATACTTTTTTTTATCTCAACTTTTTTCAACACTTCGTGACACTTGGTATTATTCACCTCCTCCTCCCGAAGTTTGGTGATCCAAACAGCTAGCTCTTCCTTGTTGGTTGTAGAAAACGTACACAGACAGGCATTCATACCACCGCCTCAAGTCCTTTAGTCAAGAGGTCTGCCTCCTTCCAATGGAACGGTACTCCAGTATTTTGCCCTTCATTATTAACCTTAGCAATTCATAGCGGGCACATGCACATGTCCCATATAGCGGGTGTTTCTTAAGATACTTGCCTTCTATTTAAGATGAGCTTGTCGATTATGCGAAGCACTTCTTCATTTGTAACCTCTGAGATCATGATGTGAGGAGTAGGTGCCGGTATAAATAAATACATCGCAAAGGCCGAAATCCTCTTCTCGATCCTTGGATCAACCGGACGCTTTGCATCACATAATAGGCGAGAATAAGCCGGGAACTCAATGGGGGAGTACACAACCTTATGGAAAAATGGATTTTGGATTCGCATCGGGTAGCGTCGCATGGCGTTGCATCGGGTTGTGTTCCCGGCTTAAATAGCATCTTATCTCTAATTCTAAACTGAGAATGAATAAAAAGGTTTTTCGTTTGAAAGAAAATAGCTTTAGTCATCATTATTCGAGCCCTTACCTTCTTTATAGAAGGTGCGCAGGAATGCCACCTGAAAGTAAAATTTGGCACAAGGTGTACTCGTGTCGGCATAGGGTCGGCATGAACGGCGGGTGCCTTAGCAGTCTCTGCATAGACGGGGGACGGTGTATGGCCGTCTGTACCACGGGGTAATTAAACAGTCCAAATTCAGCCCAAGTTACGCTGGGAACGGTTTCGTGGTGGTACGTTGTGACGCCCCTGGCGGGAACTTAGACAGAGCCTGTCTTCTATCTGTGACCTTCGTGAACCTTGCGTATGGCCAGCGTAATTACCCCCGGCCCCACGGGAGAGGTTGCGACGGGACGACAGCTTGTAAGCGTTGAGGACGCGATGATCATGCTGAATAGTCGCTCGAATGCGTGAGTAAGCGAACGGAAACGGGTAGTGAATCGGTGTCTCTGACTCGAGTATGCTTTGCATTGTTGTGCGTATGACCGGCGTGGTACCCTTGGGGGAGCGAAGGATCGGATCACCTAGGCTGATCCTATGGCGTCCCTCGAATGCGCATGGCAGGTGTAGCTGAGCTCGATAAGAGACTTTACCGTAGGCGGTGCTCATCTAGGGTGTGGTTAGCAATTCCACTTTAAACTAAACTGCTGCCGGGGCGTTCCCGGAAGTTTCTACGCTAGGGGAGCCCTATACTCCGGGAGATAGAGTGGCCTTCTCTATCTAGAGAGTACGCGGGAGAACGGGCTGATGTATTTCGGCCTATTAGCTCTTTGCGTGCGGCATACGACCCGATGCACAATGCGGGCCCTACCCTTCGGAGTGGACAAGCGGAGAGCGAGGTTGTCTCGGCCCTTAGGGGCTGGGGCGCCTCGACACCAATGCTGCGACGGTAACACCATTCCGTCGTATGCGGAGGTGCGTCAGCTCTCATCTTGAGAATCAAAACGTCCGATAAGGACGAATAGGCCAGGTGCGGACGCTAAAGATCCTCTTGTCGTGTTGACGATGAGTTCTCGGGAACAGAATGTGGCGAAGCAAACTAGTGAATGAATCAGTAAAGTATGTAGATAAAAGACTGACTTGGAGGATACAAGTGTTAGACCTAGTTCAAACATCAGACGAAGATTTAAAATATTGAAGCAAATATTAATCCATCAACCATCATCTTTGACACTAAGTCTGTCACTGCGGTTCCCCAAAATGATCAACAACTTCAAACTCTAGGGGTACGAGCCACCTTCCAGAACAGAGTATTAAGAATAACAGTTTCACAGTGACCTCAACTTCGAGACTAGACCTACCAGAAAGGTAATAAATATCAGCGTATGCTCCAGATATTTGCAACACTACAATAATTCTATTTAAAAGCCATTCTGTCCAGACTTCCTCCTTCAAATGAAAAAGACACGAAAACTGGAAAACTCGGTGACCTGAGCTGTCGGAAGGCTCCAGGTTATTGGTATAGTACTGGTATATATTATAATTAGATTGTTATAATCCTTGTACGGTTTTATTACTCAAGAAAGTTTATATTTATTTTTACACAATAATAAGCACTTTCTATTGTTTAAATGAAAAAAAAAAGTCTAGAAGAGATTTTGAGAATTGTGTTTTTTACAATTAATTTATCATCTTGTTAAGTAACCGCAGTAAACCTTTTTCTTCAGTCTAACCTTACAAAAGTCAGCTAAAATTGAAAAAAACCCACATATTTTATTGTTGATGAGTAGAATATTTTTCCCGCAAATATTCTGACAATAAAATTAATAATCGTCGATTTTCTTCACTATCGTCTTTCAATGTTATTACATCTCTGCGCAATTCGCTTAATGAGATTGGTGTTAATTTTCCAGCGGTGTCACATCTTAATCGAGTATCTTGCGTATGATGTATCCTCTAATACAGGCCTGTGCTAATAATGATGTTATTACTGATTTCTAGAGGTATCGCATTTCAAAGGATTGATATCAGTGTTGATGGGCTGCGGTCGACTCTCATAAAGCAATGCATCCCGCAAGTACACAATAGAGCAATATGCAAGTCCTGCTTTAGATTTTTATATATATATATATATATACTGTTTTATAAAAATTGTTTAAAACTGAGAGAAATCTTGATTGTAGGACCTTGAGAATGACCCACCCAATGGTTCGGGAATAAAATTAATTAGACATTGAAAGCCTTTTTATTGTGGCTTGACATCATCAACCTCCTAAAGAGAGTATTGTAATTTATTTTATCGTTTTCCTATAAAGAAAACATTATTGTTCACCCCTTTTTTCACTTCTTCAATTTATTTTTGATTAATTATTAAATAGAATTCGAATAATTATCGTTTTGCTTAATTTTAAATGGGGTTGGTTCAAATTTTTTTTAAATGTACTAAAGATAATAGATTAGTTTTTATCTATAATATTGATTTGAACATGAAAATTCCGAGTTAAAACGTCCGTTA